TTTTGATATGTTTGTTTAATAAAGGTTTCCATGATTTTGTAGCAATACTTTCTTGACTTACCCTCATATATATATTCCAATTCTGAAATTCCACCCTAAACAACTTCCACAAAAAATTGTCCTAACATAAATCCTTTAGAAAGCAGAGCCCAAGGCAAAGATTAAAATGCTGGCACTTTGAGAGGAGCAAGTCCAGAGACACAAGGGTGAGGAGAAAAAGCAAAGTGAGACAATGAAATATGCGATGCAATGCCATGCAATGTATCATGCCACCAACTACCGCTTCACAATGCACGAGAGAGACAGCAGGCCACTGTGCAGCCATGTTCACGCTGCACACAGACTTCTCCAGAAGGGTTGCAAAGAGAAGACACTCTTTGTAGTAGTTCCTGAAAGGAAGGAGAATTTATTTGCTCGGTTCCCTCCCATTTTCTGTTGGTCCATTAAACAAATTCCCTCAACTTCTGAGATGCAGCATCTGGTCCTCTGGCAGCCACTCAGGAGTCATAGCCCATGCCTTTCAGCGTCGTGTTTTATTCACTTCAGAGTGGAGGGGTGACCTGTGTAGGTGAGACATTGGCCAAGAGAAGTGGGCAGTTGAGAGATTCTGAGAAGGCACACAAAGTGGGGCTGATACAGTGAATTTGGAAGCTCTGGGGCCCAGGGAAGGATTGCTTCCACAGGAAACAAAGAATGTGGTTTGGCCTTTTGACTCTGGTGTCTGAAAATAACTCCAGCAATCAAGATGCCTTTGTTTTCCAAAATAGTTGGGCAAGTAGGGGCTACACCAACCAGCCCCACAACCTGGCAAACTAACTTCAGAAAGGAAGGGGAGCCTAATGCAGTCATACATATTCACTGATTGGATCAATCATAACTATGCCTTAAAACCCAAGTCATGAGTATGCATTGAGGTCCCAATGACTAGGGGACCTGGGACCTTGGAGCGCTCTCTTTGGGGTCTCCTGGATCGGTGAGAACATCGATGCATGGAAGAGGAAGCAGCATGAGGGAGGCCCCTTGCTGGGAACACTCCCAGACCTTTGCTGCTGTGTCTCTATGCTTGTATTCTTTCTGGTTATAGTAAATGGGTAACTCTAAGTATAGATAATAGTCTCCATAAATTTTGTGAGCCGTTCAAGAGAATTAACAAACCCACAGAAGCAACGAGCCAGCAGGGCCTGGCAGTATACAATCGATTTGTGTAGACCCAGCTCCGGGTGCTGGGTGATAAAGGTGGCTTGGGCAGTCAATGAAGGATAAAGTCCTTCTAGCTTGTGACTTAGTCCCAGGGGACAAGAGAGAGACCAGCTGGTCTGAAGTGCAGGGAGTTGTGCAGACTTCTTAGCTTATGGCTGCTCCCCACTGACTTGGCCTCAGGTGGCCAGGGATGTTTTGACCTGGCTCAGGATAGCCAGAGATGAGGAATGACCTAACTGTGGTAGTTAGGGTCAGAGAAAGGATTTCCACGGAAGTGGCTGGCAACAACGAGTGAAAATGTGAGAAGGTGAGGTCTGGATCCACTTCCAGCTGGGAATTGGTTTCATGCTGATCCTTGCTACGCAGTTAGTGATGAAGGTGGGGTTTGCCTACCTGGACCCTTTTATAGTCGTTTGTAGCCTGTCCTTGCAGAATGTCTCCCCAAGAACTATCACCAGACACTTGTTAAAAAACAAAGATGTCACTTTGAGGACTAAGGTGCACCTGACCCAAGTCATGGTGTCTTCAATCGCCTCATATGCATGTGAAAGCTGGACAGTGAATAAGGAAGACTGAAGAAGAATTTTTGCCTTTGAATTATGGTGTTGGCGAAGAATATTGAATATACGATGGACTGCCAAAGAATAAACAAATCTGTCTTGGAAGAAGTACAGCCAGAATGCTCCTTAGAAGCAAGGATGGTGAGACTTCGTCTCACGCACTTCGGACATGTGACCAGGAAGAGACCAGTCCCTGGAGAAGGACATCATGCTTGGTGAAGTAGAGGCTCAGCAAAACAGAGGAAGACCCTCGAGAGATGGATTGATACAGTGGATGCAACAATAGGCTCAAACATAGCAACAATTGTGAGGATGGCGCAGGACTGGGCAGTGTTTCGTTCTGTTGTAAACAGGGTTGCTATGAGTCGGAACCTCACCTAAAAACAATAGGCCTCTCCAGAGTAGTCCAAAAACCAATTAAGTCAATTCTCTTTATATTCACTCATTATTTTCGTGAAGATCCCAATGGCATGCAGTAATAAATCTAAGTATAATGTTTTGTTGTTGTTGTGTGCTGTCAATTCCAACTCACAGCAATCCCATAGGACAGGGGAGAACTGTCCCGTAGGGTTTCCAAAGAGCTGCTGGTGGATCTGAACTGCTGATCTTTTGGTTAGCGGACTGAGCTCTTAACCACTTCATCACCAGGGCTCCCATAGTGTTTTCAGAACATGGAATTTAAAATGCAGATCACCATCTATTGTTAGCTTCCTTCATGTCAGCCCAGCTCATGGCGACACCATGCACAACTGAACGAGACGCTATCCAGTCCTGCGCCATCCCCATTGTTGGCTGCAGATCTAACGCTGCGTTGTGATCCATAGGGTTTTCGTTCCACTTTCAGAAGTAGATCACCAGGCTTTTCTTCCTACCCCATCTTAGTCTCAAAGCTCTGCTAAACCTGTTCAGCATCCTAGCAACACATAAGCCACCAATGACAGACGGGTGGTGGTCGTACATGATGTGCACTGGCCAGGAAGCAACCCGAGAGCTCCCCCAGGACAGGCAAGAACTCCACCATTGCACTACCAATGCCTCACGGTCCAAGCTATACATCTCTAAATTAACAAAATGTTTTATCATGCTCTCCAAGTAAAACATAATGCAAGACACTCCACTTTTATAGCAAAAAAATACACTAAAACCCAAAACAATAAATGAACAGGAAAAAGGCAATAAACTGGCCTCTCTTTTATTTCACTTCCTTCTACTAAGAAATGCAGTAAGAATTTAGTCTAACATGCCTAAAGAAAAACTGTTTCCTCCATAATATAAATTAACATTTCTACCAAGGTTTATTGAGATGAAGAAACGATAGCTCTAGCCACAATATCCTTGCAACTACCCCCTAAATCACATTGTTTTTAAACTGGTCCCTAAAATATAAAAATGAGCTAGACCTGAGCCCCCCAACTGCAGCCAGAGGCCGAGCTGCCCAGTGGCCAGGGGACCAGGGACGCTGGGGTCCGGACAGGGGTCGCCATGATCTGCTTCATCCTCACTGAGAACCGGGCGGGCAAGACCCATCTGGCCAAGTGGCACACACAGTTTGATGACGAGAAACAGAAGCTGATCGAGGAGGTGCATGCCCTGGTCACTGTCTGCGATGCCAAACACACCAACTTCGGGGAGTTCCGGAACTTTAAGAGCATCTACCAATGCTACGCTGGCCTCTACTGCTGCATCTGTGTGGACATCAACGACAACCACCTGGCCTACCTGGAGGCCATTCACAACTTCGTGGAGGTCTTAAATGAATATTTCCACAATGTCTGTGAGCTGGACCTGCTGTTCAACTTCTGTAAGGTTTACACGGTTGTGGACGAGATGTTCCTGGCTGGCGAGATCCGTGAGGCCAGCCAGCCAAAGGGGCTGAAACAGCTGCTGGTGCTGCAGTCGCTGGAGTGACGAGGGCAGGCGAGCCCCTCCCGGACCCCAGCCTCCCCAGACTCGCCCGCTCGCTTCCCCTTGCGGCCCCCTGCCTCAGCTGCCCGGGAGGAAGGGACCCAGCTGGGTCCGGGACACAAGGGAGGAGGCTACCCCCAACTCCCCTCTGGGCCCCAGCTGGGGGTGGAGGCCACCTCGCGTATATTGAGTAACCATGCTGTTGTCGTGTGATGCTGTGTGTGTGTGTGCGCGTGTGTGTGAGCGTGCGTGTGTGTGTGTGTGTGAGTGTGTGTGTGTGTAGCCTCCAATAAACCTGTGGCCTCCACCTCGCAAAAAAAAAAAATGAGGCTCTCAGGCTACAGGGCTTGACTAACTGTACAATCTTAGCTGATGGCTTGAGAGGCTGGGATAATTTTTTTTTTTTTGAAGCAGTTTTTTTTTTTGGCAGAGGCTTTCACACCATTCCCAAATTACTTTTTGAAAACACTTCTCAAATGATGGTCCCCTAAGTCGTGACTATCCTGTGAAATTCTTATTCAAGGGAGACAGAACCTCTTACATGAGCCTTTGTCCTTTGAGGAAAAGGATAAAAAAATACCACCAATTTGGGTCAAGGCTGGTACAAAGAATGAGACTGAAGCCCCAGAATTCTTGGGTTTTATTCAGTCATTTTAATATAAGATTGAAACAGACGGCTGCAACGACATTTGAAATTCCACAAAGAACTGCATGCTTCTGCTGTTAAAAGACCTTTGCTGAAGCATTTGAACTTTACCTCTTAGGAACTGAAGACATTTGGAGGCCTCAAGCATTTTGTCAGCACACAATCATTCACAACAACCTTCTAGATGCTTATTTTCTACCTTCTCCTATAAAGGTAATTCTTACTTACCAAAACTACATCACCACTGAAGGATTCACAGCTCCTGAGCTCAGAGTGATCAGAACCCACAGATTAGTACAATTAGTAGTCCAAAGCTTGTTTAAATGTTTGAAGAACAGCAAACACCAAAAAATACAATACCAAATAAAGTATTATTGTTACCTTGAGGTGCTGACTCATCAACTAAAACCTCCTCAAGACTGAAATGCTCTCTACTCAGTGTCTGTGGGTATAAACCCTTCATTCTGAATGCTTCTTATGACATCACAAATTCCAGAAATGAAACTATATATTTTCAGCATTCCACAGTAATGGCTTTCAAAAACTGCAATATACATCTGCAGGTTACACTAACATACACAATTCTCTACATAAACATTTTGTCATATATCAACTCTTGGCCTCAAATACTAGACTACAAAATGCTACACAGGACAAAACACCACAGAACTTTTGAATATTCCCCTTCCCCAGGTGTTAGCAGGTAGCGCTTTTTTTTTTGAGAAAGAGAAAGTGATGAAATATCAGAAAGTTTGCATCCAATGTCTGCCTTCAACTCTGTACTATCTTATCGTCTTCTGGTACCACCAAATCCTAGAATGAGAAGAGAAAAATGTATGTTAGTTTTTTTAAACGCATAAAAATTGCTTATGAAATTACAAAAGTAATCCACGTTTACCATTAGCAAGTGAAGAGAATAAGCGAGGAGGAGAGAAGGAGCTGGCCAGGTGGTGCAGGGCTGTGAAGGAAGTAATGCAAACCTCTCCACAATACCCCTCCCAATCATCGCTAAGTCTACTGGACTCACACGTGCTTGCGGGTTATGCTCAACTTCACACCTTATACATTTAACATACTTTACATAGTAATACTCAGCTCTATACAGGAGACAATGTGGTACAGGCAATACTCAAAAGACAGAGGCCGACGGAGCGTAAGCCATGACCTGCTACGTCTCGTCCTCTCACGACTCCAGCAGTGATGAGAAGTAAACTTGGGGGAGGGTTATGGACTTTCAACAGCAAATGTTACTTAAACCTCCATGAAGCAGAATTCTCCCCTCAGCTAACAGACAGATTACAAGATGGCAAGTTTTTCCCTTTATAAAGTCTCTCCTTTTTTTTTAGGTTATTTGGTAATGTTTTATGATTTTCTTCATATAAGTCCTACACATCTCTAAACCAAAAAACCAAACCCATTGCTGTAGAGTTGATGCCAACTCATAGTGACCCTACAGGACAGAGTAGAACTGCCCCACAGGGTTTCCAAGGAGCAGCTGGTGGATTCGAACTGCCAACCTTTTGGTTAGCAGCTGAATGCTTAACCACTGCCCACCAGGACTCCCATAAATCTCTAGTTGATATTTATAATTTTTCTAATTTTATTTTTATAATTTTCTAACAAATATTTTTCCATTAAGAATGAGTTTTCTTTTGTCACAGTATGTCCTACCTAATTATATACTTTTTTTATTCTCCCAATCACTACACCTCTGCTTTCTCCCCAAAACTAACCACTATTTTAACATCTAAGGCACCCTGGTGGCACAATGGTTAAGAGCTCACCTGTTAACCAGAAGGTTGGAGGTTCGAACCTACCAGCTGCTCCAAGGGAGAAAAGACTTGGCAGTCTGCTCCCCTAACGATTTGGTGCAGTTCTATTCTATCCTACACGGTCGCTATGAGTCAGAATCAACTCAATGGCACGTAACAACATCATCTTAACACCTAACACCAGAGGTTAGTTTTGTTTGTTTTTAGACGTGTATATTTATAAACTATAAATGTTATAATCATACTGTGTATGTTCTTTTGTGTCTGGCTTCTTTCTTTATATCTGAATATCCATCCAGATTATTATATACGATAGTTCATTTATTCTCATTGTTGTATAGTATCCCACAGTAAGACTATACTCCACTCATCGATTCAACTGCTGATGAATATGTGGGCTGCTCTCCTTTGAGGCTATTATGAATAGGGAAGCTATAAACATTCTTTCTTTCAGTGTATATGTATTTCTGTTGCTATATTTATCTAAGAATGAAACTGCTAGGTAATGAATATGCTTATATTCAATTATAGTAGGTGAGGTCAAACATCTTTTCAAAGACATTGTATCTATTTATATTCAAACTAGCACTACTAATTTCACTTTTACATTTTTAAACATAGTTATATTTAAATTAATTTCAAAAATTAATTGTTGTTCTGTAGCTTGCCCCCCTGAAAAAGACAGCTCCAATCCACAGCACCCTCTTACAGCCCCATTATGCACCACCCCCGATGATTAGCAGGATGTTTAACTCCAAAGAGTTACTCAGTTGTTTTTTTATCATACCTTTGCTTTTTACAAAATACTCTCTTTACCAATTGCAGTGAACATTACAATCACATTTTTTACAACTATTTAAAGTATGGCTCAGTACATGTTTATTAAATTTTACTGAATTTAAAAGCTTCAAACTTCTCCTCAGAAAATTCCATTTCAGAGCTTAGAGACCACAGGATTAAACATACTTGGAAACCAAGGTCCGGGAAGCTTTAAATTAAAACCTTGGTTAGTAGTAGAGCTGAAATTAAACCAAATCCCTATTTGATCTTTAAAAGAACATTCAGAAGTGGCAGGAAAGAATGAATCTGAACTATATTTCAACCTCAGTTAATTATGCTATTAACATTTTTGGTAGGTATACCAAATAACACCAACACAAAACCAAACCCGATGCCGTCAAGTGGATTCTAACTCACAGGGACCCTACAGACAGAGTAGAATTGTCCCTATGGTTTCAAAGCAGCAGCTGGTAGATTCGAACTGCCCACCTTTTGGTTAGCAGCTGAGCTCTTAACCACTGTGCCACCATGGCTCCCAAATAACACGATTGCTAAATGTATAGTTAATCTTCTTCTTACGTTCCCCAAATACTTCTGTACTTCACTGCTACATAACAGGAACCTCTGTATTCTTTGCTCTTACCCGATGCTGTCCTGGTTCCTGTATCTGAGCTTGAATCTGCTGAATAGCTCCCTGCGCCTCCACGACGTGGTGAGTAAGCAGGACCATTCCACGTGCTGGAGTACGATGGAGGATGAGACGGGTAGTACCACGAGTCTGAGGAGGGTGCTGCCGCTCTAGAAAGACATGAAAAAAAAACTGTGCATTTTTCCTGTGGCTACCCTTTTTAAACCCAGTTCTGTTCCTAAACCATCATTAAAAAAAATCCTTCGTAAGTGTTTTTTTCTGAATGTTCTGGTATATATTAACATAAAGACTGTTCTCTGTTCCTGTCACTAGTATAGTCATTGCTATGGGGCAATAAAGTGAGAGGAGTAAATCCTCTTTCTTTCTGAATTTACACTCAAAAGTCTAAACCTAACCTAGCATTAATACTCAAAACATTCCAAAATCTGGCCCCAAGCTCTATCCAGCCTTGCTTCTTATCATTCTCAGACCAAACCAGACTGTGGCCCAAATACTGTGTGCTTTCCTGCCTTCTCGTCTTCTCAGACGTCAAGTAGATAGTTCCTGGATATGACTTCCTATCTCATAATATCTATGAGAATGACAGCGCAAGGAAGAAACACAATGAAAAAAATAATATATATATAGTATTGACCAAAGCATAAAGTATACCTTTTAAAAAAGAAATATAAAATAAAACACATTTTTACTGGGGTGAAAATAAACAATGTCGGTTACTCAACATAAGTGTGTGTTTATCAGTGATCTGAATAAAGAATTCTATCTTTCAAATGGATCTAGAGTTTATCCTAACATTGAAAGATCTATATTCCAAAGGAAAGAAAATTAAGGGAATATTCTGGGCAAGTTTTAAAACCTCATTATTGCTCAGTGCCTTTACATCTGTGTTAGCCAGTCCACTGTCTCAATTTCCCTTTACTAACACAATCTGGTTTTAGACGAACACAGTCTAATCTAAGGCGTTGCGCTGGCCACAGAAATCACTTAGGGAACGTGTTAAAATGGATTCCCAACTCCTCAGCCCCAGGGACTCTGATTTAGTAGGTTAATGTCACCCTAGTTTATTTTCCTTAAGAAAAACAAAGAAGAGTCTAAAGAAAAGTTGAATAAACAAGTGAGATAAATGAAAAACCTACCTATTGCTGCCAAACAAATATCCTAATAGTCCTCCAGTTCCCAATCCAGTCCAGAAGCCTGGTCCTGAATTTCCGTATCCTTGCTGTCCTTTGAAAGCACTGCCAAAACCATAGGTCCCACCATCGCCAGTACTCTGTGCTCCTTAAAATAAAAATGATTCATTATGTATCCTCATTTAAACACAGTCTACACAAGCAAAGATGCTATAACATTTCAATTATTTAGTCTGTACTATATATTAATAATAAGCAGGCCTCAATTTATGAACAAGTTTTATTCAAAAAAGTCTACATGTAAAATGTCGATTTATAACTAAGGAGTACATTTCCCACAAACATGGAGAAGAAGGGATATATTTCAGTACTGGAGGGACTTCCTGTAAGGTAACATCTGCCCTGCTCATGGTCAGCCGCCAGGAAATGACCCTCCTTTTCACACTGACTTCCTTTCTGGGTTGTATCTTTAAAAACTCCAGGTGGTAGCTATGCCTGAGCCTAATGGAGAGATCGAGTGGAGGCAACCAGATATTTTTTTTCTATCGGCTGGGAGATTAGGTCTTAAAGGAGACAAAAAAGTACCTTCTGCTCAAAGTGAATTTTTTAAAAATTGGTATATAATGTACATATAGGAAAGTGCGCTACCTTTATGTTTACTGCACAATAAAGTTATACATGTGTATACATCCATGTAACCACTACCCACATGAATAAAACATTTCTAGCACCTCAGAAGGCTCCCTCATGACCACTTCCAGTCGATCCCCACCCACATCAGAGATGAGTGCGATTCTCACCTCTCCATGTTTTAGTTTTGCCTTTCTTAAACTTTTTATAAACAGAATCATGAAGTATGCACTCTTTCGTGCTCAGCATATCACTGTCTGAGAGTCAACCCTATCATTATGTGTATCAGCAGTTTGCCCTTTTTTTCCCATCATGTGAAAAAATCCAAAATTTGATCCATTCTAATGCTTATGACCGTTCCATTTCTAGTTTTGGGTCGTTATGAATAAAGCTGGAATGAACGTTCCTGCACATGTCTCCTGGTATACACATGTATTCATTTTATCTTAGGTACATACCAAGGATTAGAACTGCTGAGTCACAGGGCAGGCATATGTTTAGCTTCAGCAGATACTGACAGTTTTCTAACATGTTGTACCATTTTACACTGCCACCAGCAACGGATGACAGCTGCAGTCACTCCACGTCTTTGCCAATACTTGGGACTCTGTCTTTTTAATTTTAGTCATTATGGTGATTACATAATGATCTCATTGAGGTTTTAACCTGCATTTTCCTAAAGACTAATGACGCTCATATTTTTATTGGCCTTCTAGATATCTTCCTTTATCATAAAGTGCCTGTTCAAGTCTTTTGCTCATTTTTAAAATTCGGGTGTCTATCTTTTCTCAGATTTGTGGGAGTTCTTTATATATTCTAGATACAATTCCTTTGCTGGTAAAATGTTTGCAAATATTTTCTCTCAGTCTATGGCTTGCCTTTTCACTTTTAATAGTGTCTTTTGCTGAAAAGGTAGTCCCTGGGTGGTGCTAACAACTGACACCCTCAGCTGCTAATCAAAAGGTTGGGGGTTCAAGTTCACTCACAGGCACCTCAAGAGAAAGGCCTAGCAATCTACTTCCAAAAACTCAGCCAACGAGAAACCCATGGACACGCTTCTACTCTGACACGCATGGAGTCGCCATGAGTCAGAGTCAACTGGACAGCAACTGGCCTGTTTTGGTTTGTTTTTTTTTGCTGAAGAGACATTCTTAAACAGAGCCTAATTTATTCATCTTTTCTTGTATGGTTAGTACTTTTTGTGTTCTGTTGAAAACATCGTTGCCTACCCCAAGGTCATGACAAACAGTCTCCTATGTGTTCCCCTAGAAGCTCAATTGTTTTACCTTTTAGATTAAGATCTTCAATACTTGGATGAATTAATTTTTGTGTACAGCATGAGACAGGGTTCATGGGAATAAGTGCTTATTACCAAATCTGATCATGATTCTCTAACTAAGATGATTTATAATTTAATCACAATAGTAATTACAATGTACCTTTATAGAGCAGCAGAACACAGAAGTAAAAGAAATTGAAAGTAAAAAATAAAATGAGAAGACAAATCTGCTTCAGATTCCCAATGGAACCATTTTCTGTTTCAGAAATCAGCACAGCATTCACTACCTCACAGCCACCCTACTTACTGCCACTGAGGAGAGACATACCTGTGAACTGAGACTTAAAGCCCGGGGGAGGGGGTCCTGCTGAGTTTGTGGATCTCTGGTATTGCTGGGAATATGGAGGATACTCAGAATATGGTGGAGGAGAATCTTGTCCATCACTAAGAAACAGCTTATAAACTCCAAAGGCAATAGCAAGTAGCACCACAATGGTAATCAATCCACTAACACCACAGGAATCTGGGGAGTACAACTTATTATGATAATTAGAGAAAGAGTTAAAGCCACGGTTTTTTCCAGACTCTCTCAACTTCTTCAGGCCAGCTTCTGTGTAATCTAAATCATACTCCAAGCCACAGGACCCTCTTAGTACATACGGGTCTTCAGAGGATTCATAGCCTTCACAGCTCACCACAGTTTTTCCAAATCTGTATGCAATATCTAAGTCAGTCTTACATTCCCACTGTGAAGAAAAATATAAATAGGTTATTGGTACCAAAAGTTTGTTTTTTTTTTTTTCATTTAACATATATTATGTGGGCTACATACATGTCAAAAAAAACCTGCAAGATAGCAAGTGAATTATTAACAAAATTCAGGACAATGAGTAATTCTGCAGTAGAGGAAGACAAAGTAGAGGCTTCAAAATTACTGGTGATGTTAATGTTCTACGTCTTAACCTCAGTGGTGAGTACATGAGTGTTTTATTACTATTCTTTATTTATCACACATACACGTTATATTCTTTTGTACATATTATGTATTTCGTAATTTATAAAATTTTAAGCAAATTTTTTAAATGTCATCTTTTTGCCATGGTTGTTCCAGATGTTTTCTTCAAAAATAGAGATTTTTCTTAAAAGCTTGTGAGTGGCCATCTAAGTTACAACTATTAGTCTCTATGCAGCCAGAATAAAAGAGAATAAAGGAAACCAAAGACTCAGAAAAGAAACTAGTCCACAGGGCTAACAGTCCACACCAACCATGACCTCATCTACCCCGAAGAACTAGATGGTGGCCCAGCTACCACTACCAACCTTTCTGATCAGGAACACAACAGATGGCCAATAGATGGATCCTGAAAGAACGGGAGCAAAATGTGGAACAGAACTCAAATTCTTAAAAACTCCAGACTTCCTGGACTAGTTGAGACTGGAGGACTCCCGGGGACTATCGCCCTGAGATACTCTTTAAACCCTGAACCAAAACTATTCCATGAGGTTATCTTTTAGCTAAGTAACAGATTGGCTCATAAAATAAACAGTATCACCCGTGAGTACTGTGCTTCTTTAAAAAATCATCTATGAGACCAAACAGTGAACTCTCACCATATTTTTACACAAATAATGCGTACTTTCTATGTTTGTTTGCCTGCGGCGCTCACCCCACCCCCCGGGAAGTATTTTTATAGGTATGCTAGGCTAATTTTTTTTACAGCAACATGTGGAAAAGAAATGGTATAGAAGCACTTGTGACGATGCCTCGCGGAGGGTAGAGAGGGAGGGCACAGTTGGCAAACAAACACAGAAGGTATATGTTATTTTTGTAAAAATATGGTATTCTAAAGCAAAGACGAGAAAGCAAGGGGGCAGGGAAACTAGATTACTGGAAACAATCAGAACAGAAATAATGAGAAAGTTGACACACTGTGTAAAATGTAACCAATGTCACTGAACAAATTGTGTAGAAATTGTTAAATGGGAATCTAATTTGTGTGTAAACTTTCACTGAAAATACTTTTTTTTTAAATAGAGATTTTTTAAGATGTTGAGGCGAAAACATCAGCATCATATGTGAAGTTTTGATAGCTGCATGCAGTATCAGAGATATTATATAATCTTCTAAAAAAAAAAAACTTTTCCACACAAATGTTATAAAATCATGGACTAATGTTCCAGGGTCCAACGGTATCTAATCCTCTTAAATTTTTTTAAACGATTTTCAGAAAAACGCAAAAGAATCCATGCTAGCCTCAAACACTCCCATCTTATTAAAAAAAATAAATAAGCCCAAGTTTAGTTCAAATTCTGTAATTATATTTTGAGCTGAACAGAAAATATACTCTTTATAAATATCTGAAGAGATACAAGCTATTGCCTTTCTCGAAGTTTTTGTACCAAATCTCTTTTTCTCTCAAAGTTCAAATATACCCTATTTTACTTATTTTTTAGAACAGCTTTATTGATATAATTCACATGACATACAATTCACCCATTTAAAGTGTAAAATTCAATGGTTTTTAGTATATTCACAGAGTTGGGCATATCACTACAATCAATTTTAGAGTATTTTCATCATCCCCAAAAGAAACTCCATTTTCCCACAACTCCAAGAAACCACCCATCAACTTTCTGTCTCTATGGATTTGCTTTTCTGGACATTTCACATAAATGGAATCACACAATATGTAGCCCTTTGTGACTGGTTTCTTCCACTTAGCATAATATTTTCAAGGTTCATCCATGTAGTAGCATGTACTAATACTTCATTTCCTATGACTTGGTAATATTTTGTTTGTACATACAACATTTTGTTTATCCACTCATCACTTCATGGACATTTGGGTTGTTTCTAATTTTTGCCTAGTATGAATAATGCTGCTGTGAACATTTGTGTACAAGTGTTTGTGTAGATACAAGTTTTCGATTCTCTTCGGTACATACCTAGAGTAGAACTGCTGGGTCATTTGGTAACTCTTGCATAACTTTTGGAGGAATTGCCAAATTGTTTTCCAAAGTGGCTGCACCATTTTACATTCCCAACTACAGTGTATAAAGAGTTCCAATTCTCCACATTCTCACCAATACTTGTTGTTATCTTTTTGATTATAGTCTTCCTAATGGGTGTGAATGGTATCCCACTGTGGTTTTGATTTGCATTTCCCTGATGACTAACGACGTAGAGAATTTTTTCATGCACTTATTTGGCCACTTGGATATCTTTTTTGGAGAAATGTCTAGTCAAACACTTTGCCCATTTTTTAATTTGGTTGTCTTTCTATTATTGAGTTGTAATAGTTCCTTGTATATTCAAGATAGTACTCCCTTATCAGATACGTGATTTGCAAAAACTTTCTCCCATTCTGTGGGTTGTCTTTTCACTTTCTCAGTGATGTCCTTGAAAGAATAAAAGTTTTTACTTTGAGTAATGTGCAAATTTTCTATTTTTTACTTTTGTTGCAACACTTTTATTTTTAAAATAATTTTACTTGGAAAAAGATTTATAAGCTTGCTGATTAAAGTAAGTAAAACAGGCTACATCTCAACTGATATTTGTAGCTAACTATACTTCCTTAGTAGTGCACACGAGAAATGGCTTCTAATGCTATATATTATAGTACTTTATTTATTTAAACTCTTGGAATTAGAGGAGGCTCTCTCCTGAAATGATAAGACAACATACGATATGCTCTACACGTCTTTGCTCATGGTATTTTCTTCTCTATCCTTTCACCTCTAAAAATCTTAGACTTACTTCCAGACACAACACGGATACCTTCTCCTTTAAGCCTTCTCCAATCCCCTCAACTGGACATGACTGTATAATATTTTGTTGGTACCTAAAAAATTCTCCAATTAATTTGAGTGTTTGTCTTATCCCTTCTACTAGGAAGAGTTCCCTGAGGGCAGTGACTCCATCTTATCCATTTTTATATATCACAGCTTCAATATATATTTAATGAATGACCTCACCGTTCTTTTTTTTTCCCCATCAAGACTTGTAAAGTTAATTTAAAAGTAAAATAGGAGTGGGATTTCTGCTTTAATGTAAAGATTGTATTAGTTAATTAGCAATGCTGGGGGAAAGATGTTGTGAAATATGTATCACACAATACACACACAGTCTATCTCTGAGTTGCACAAACCATGGATAAAGGTTACATAAAACAAAAAGTCATTCTGCTGAAAGGGGAAATTGTCAATACAAGCTTTTTGCTTAGTGATCAGCCATCTTAAACCTTTTTTGAAAGCAAGCAGAATACAAAGTAGAAACATATTTAATCGAATTCATTTGATAAACTCTATTCCACTTCTAAAATATGTTGAGTTCTGCAACTTCAAGGAGATGCTATCCGTTATGTACAAAATGCCAGGGTCCCAAGACAATAAATAAAGCACGCTAAAATGCTTTCATCCAAAGTAACCATCCTAAGTTGTAAAACGACTTTAAAATCAAGTATCTGAAGCACAGTAGGGCCCATGTGCCCTAACTATTTACAATCTATGGCCCCTTAAGAGCAGGTTGGTATTCTTGAGGAATGACCAGGAAATGACAACAAGAAGAACTCCCCTACTTCCAGCCAAGTGGATAAAAAGTCTGGAAAATTTACTAATATCTTAGAAGAAAGTCATGGTACAAAAATGACAATTAACATTTCCAGGCTTTAAAATCAGTTCATTTCTTTTGGAGAATGCTTCTTCCGGAGGTTAAGTGACTGACTGAATTATACTGATATACTTTAAGTTAACCTAAGATTTTATACACGTGCTTCCCAAAGACACTGAACAATATCCCAAAAGATACTTTATTAAATAGAAATCCCATTCAGACTTCCATCAATGTAATAAATATTACCTGTACATCATAACCATCCCAGCCTTTGTTCTGACACTGTATGACTTTGGGGGTATAAGAATCACATCCAGCTGTGCCTCCAACACATTTCAACTGTGGGATCGGATCCAGTCTGCGGGAGGTGGTATAGCGGTCATAATGGAGGGTAAGAGCTTTGATATCCCGCAACAATATTCTGTCTGAAAGAGTAATAAAACAGATGAGCAGACAGTAAGTGCCTTAGTAAGCACAGAAAGATTCATTCTAACAAAACTCCTGTCATAGGAAACACTTTCAAAAGTAAGTGTGTTTCCTGCCGTTTGAGAATTCTTAAACCCTGGTGGTGTAGTGGTTAAGAGTTTGACTGCTAAGCAAAAGGTTGGCAGTTCAAATCCACCTGGTGCTCCCTGGAAACCCTATGGGGTGGTTCTACTTTGTCCTATAGGGTAGCTATGAGTTAGAACTGACTTGCCGGCAACAGGTTTGGTTTTTTTTGGTTTTATAAAGAAAGGATGAGACAGTTTCTCAAAGTCATTTCAACAATGTTCAGGCTTGTGCACAAAATTCAAATGGTCACACTTTTAAGGCCTCCCTTCATTTCAGGCTGGATACCTCCTGAACTGCCTCTATAGCACAAGTTCCATGCAACGTTTGCTAAATTAGAAAAAAAGTTCATTAACTTGAAACATATTATTGTGTAATAACGGTAATGGTTAATTAAAATGGGAAAAAATACATAAGCATATTCATGAAGCATTGTTTGAACTAGTGAAAAATAGGAAATGACTTAAATGTCCATCAACAGGTGAATGAATTAATAAATTTTGGTCTATTCACACAATGGAATATTCTACAGCAGTTAAGATGAGTGACCTAGAACTCATGTATCCAACTAGATAAAACAGAAAAACCATTTTAAGCAAAATGCAAGTTGGAGAATATGTTTAGTATGATAGCTTTATATAAAAATTTGAACACAGGCAAAACAGTATTGTATATTACAATGTCTATATATGTATATAATAATAGTATGAAAATATGTATGGAAATTCTTAAACACCAATTTCAGACAAGTATCTCTGGGGAGAGAGGGAGGGAAGAGACTTTAGCTCTATTCCTAATGTTTGATTTCTCTGGAGAAAAAAAAGATTTGTAACAAATAGGGCAAAATGTGAAGAGCTGATAAAACTGGGTGGTAAGTACACTGGTGTTCACTGTGTATTTCTGCATATTCAAACATTTAAAATATCTCACAATTTAAAAATTTTAAAATATTTCACAAATTAAAAATCACTGACAAAGAAGTTTAAAAACAGGAAGTCAAAACAATGAAATTATGTCTTACATTCATGTACATAAATGAATTTTTTTAAGTGTTACTGGAAAATGAATAGGATTTCTATTTATCGTGCTTAGTTTATGGGTGGAAGATAATGTGGACTGGCTCACTTCAACCTCCATTTCACCCTCAAGCTGGTGTGCCTTCCTACAAAGCTGAAAGGATCCCCAAACCTCTTGCAGCTACAGCTCCCAAAAGTGATTTCAGTTCTGCCAATCAGAGGGACTTAAGCAAGTTCTGAAGAACAGACCTTATACTTAAAAAACAGTACACAGTCCTTCAACTAGCAAGCACAGTCATGGAGAAACAGAGTTTTTCTAGCACTATTCCAGTGCCCTGTAAGTAGCGTCATGGGTTGTCAAGAGACCTGATGTGAGCAATCCTTATTTCACTGCAGAGGATGTAGCAGGCATCACTTTCTACCACTTTGTTAGTGCCCAATTCCATATATTCAACCTGTTTCTATTTAAAATAGCCTGAATGGCTTCCATTTCCTGCAACATTTTAATGAATGCTGATTAAAAGACTCTTTATAATGGTAACAGTAATGCCAGAATTTTTAACTTCTGGTTATTTCCTCCCTAAATTCCACTAAAACTACACTAAATGGACTGTTTTGATGACGTGAACAAACAAGATCAGGGAAAACAGAAGAGAAGATGGACAGAGAATTCTGGAAGGAGACAGTAGATGGGCTAGTGATAAGCAAATAAAAAAACCAAAAAGCTGTTGCTGTTGATTCCAACTCAAAGCAACCCTATAGGACAGAGTAGAACTGCTCCATAGGGTTTCCAAGGCCGTAAAGCTTTAGAGAAGCAAACCGCCACATCTTTCTCCCACGAAGTGGGCTGGTGGGTTCAAACCACCAACCTTTCAGTTAACAGCTGAGCACTTAACCACTGCACCACCAGGGCTCCAATGTACATAACAGAATTCCTACAAGGAATAGAAAATGGCAGCTCTGGAATTGGAGATGCCTAAAATAAGCACTGTAGGGCAAAAGCTAGATTTCCAGATCCCCTCCCCAGCTTCACACTGCTCAATTGTACCTTCTCCATTCAGGAAAATGTCTGGAGATTTATTCTCTAGAGAGGGTAAAACTAAAGGGCTCTGCCCTGGGGCCTATCTGGCTCAGTAGAGTACATGGGTATAAAATCATAAAACAGGGAACCCAAGTCACACTGTACGCACTCTGAATGCTGAAAGCATAGACCTTTTCCTAGTCATGGCTCACAAAACTCTAGCAGCCATCCTCCTTTCCTCCAAGCAGGAGACTGGATGTCTATTCCACGCGTAAACTAATCAAGAACACCTAAATATACTGACTTCAGGAGTTTCCTCAAAGGACCACCCAGGTCACTCCACAGTAAAGTTCAAAATCAAAAAGCCCCAACCACACACTAGTAACTTCCGATCAGCTTTTTGGTTCCCCACCCTTAATCATGAGTATAGAGCCAAGGATTGTAAAAGTACGAGGAAAGCCCCTAACATTGAACATAGCAACCAGGACAAAACAACCCAAAAAAAAGCAATCTGGAGGAAAGACAGGCTGTGCAGCGAAAAAAGAACATGGGGGGGGGGGAGTGCTATGATATCCTCAGAGTTAAGAGAAAATATTGCATCCATAAAACAGTCCTTTTTAAATGAACACTCAGAGAACAAAACAAGAGCTCTCAGAAATTAAAAACAGGAGAGCCAAAATGAAAATAATTCAGTAGAATTGTTAAAAGTTAAAGACAAAATCTTCTAAAGAAATGTAAAGCAAAAAAATATGCAAAGTAGGAGGGAAAAAGAAAATTATAAGATTAGTTCAGGAAGTCCAATATCCAACAGAGGTTTCTGAAAGAAAGAACAGCGAACTCAGAGGGGACAAACTCAGTGATATGGTTCAAGAAAAGTTCCCACAACTGAAAGATGTGAGTTGTTATACTGAAAAGACCCAATGAGTGTTCAGGCCTGAAAACAGGCCCAAAGGCACATCATTGTAAAATTTTAGAACACTGGGGACAAAGAAGATTCTACGAACTGCTAGAAGGACGGAAAGCAGGTCACATACAAAAGATAAAGAATTAGAAAAGCTTCAGATATCTCAACGGCATAGAAACAAGACGAAAATGGAGCTATGTCTTCAAAAACTCTAAAGGAAATATTTGGCTGGGTATAGAATTCTAGGTTGTCACTCAAGTGGGAGGGTAGAAGAACTACATTTTTAGACATCTGAAAGGTTTCAAAATATTACCTTCTGGTGCTCACTCTCAATAAAATACTGGAAGATATTCACCACCAAAAGAAAAAACAAACAAAACAAAAAGGAAGACATGGAAATCAGAGCAGCAAAGAAGAAGTAATGGTATATACATAGAGAGAGAAGAGGAATCCCAAGGAGAATGGTGAATGGGGTACCAGGATGACAGCCATGTACCAGTCAGAGCACAAGCCCACGCCGGAAGAGTGTTGCTCAGAAGAGACACGTTGAGGGCTGTGAGCATTAAGATGCCTGCTGCTACAGAACTCTCTCTCTTAAACCTGAGGACAGAATGTCCAGATGAACTGGCTTTGATTTTTATCTGTTTTTGGCTTGTCTTGACCTTGAGCTGACGAAGTTCCTCTTCTTCTCTCCACGTCCTGCTACCTGGATCAGCTAAGGACACTCATTTCACTCCACAGACGCATTCTGCTTTAACCTATTCCTGAGTGCTAGAGACAGACCATGGTGAGCTCAGTAGAAGATATAATACGAACATATATCTGCCAGTTGTCCAGTACCCAGCCCACTAGAGCGTTAACAGACACCCTGATTGTGGTGATTCCTACGGTTCCCATGACTTCTCCCAATTAACTTTCCCAGAAAGGCTCTTCTAACATTTCAGAAAACCTGAAGCAAGAGACCTTCTTTATACTGACAGGAAAACAACTAGTCAGTTTTTCAAAACTTTTATAGCTTTACCACTTACGTAGACAGAAAAACTACCAAGTAAAGTAAGGAAATTATTTCAAAAATTGCTTTTTTACTTAATCACACATCATTAACATTCCTTCATTTCAGCAGATATGGATCTTATTTGTACTTGTTTACCAAAAAGGAACTTAATAAATTCCACCAAGCTGAGATCTATAGACCACATTCTCTCATCAAAATGCAATAAACCTACAAATAATAATATAATATATAAAATAATATAATAATAAAAGAGGACTGAAAATAATTTAACTGGAAAATAAGAAACATAAACTATGCATCAGATGAATATCAAAACAAATTTAGAACTGGGCTTGCAAACTCAAATGCCTTCACGTGCCAGTCAAAATGTCTAAAATACGAGAGGTCACTGGGTAAAAGTGGCTAAGTGGAACACACAGGAAAAGGCTGTGCTTGTGGTCAATGGAGAATTCAAATCCCAACTAAAGCCATTCATTTTTACTTTTGTAAGGCAATTTAGTCCAAAAAAACCATCCCTGCAAACATCAGGTTCTGATATAAAAAGGTTTTTTAAAAGATCAAAATCTATGAGCACAGGGGCATATTTATAGCCTAGGCATTTTTAATGTTTTTAAGTTGGACATAAATAAACTAGGTATTTACACTAAGAAATGAGAAAATTATAAATCAAAATAAAATAAGAGAGAATAAAATCTCAAATTTTAAAAAGGAGAAAAACAAGTAAAACCAAAAGATAGTGCTTTATAAAACAGATAAGCAATGCACAAAACCTTTATGTAGAAAACTGTAAAACTTAATGACATAAAATGTAAAATGAATAAACGGCAAAGTTATGATATACATGGATGGAAATGCCACATACTAAATTGTCAACTCTCTCCAAATTGATCTATAAAATCAATGAAATCCCAGTCAGAATT